GCCAACTTGGGCCAGTGAAGCAACGTCCTCCACAACTAGACTGAAGAACAAAACAACAGCAACTTGTCTGTTCCTCTTCCCCAATTCCCCAGCGCGGTTCCCATCCCCCAATTCCCCAATAAAAATCTTTAAAAAAAAAAAGGCTAGGGTCAGCTGAGTGGCTCAGCTGGTTAAGAGCGTGAGCTCTGAGCAACAGGGTCACCGGTTCGATTCCCACATTAGCCAATGAGTTGCGCCCAAGCTGAGGTGCCACTGAGCTGCCGATGGGCAGCCAGGTGACTCAGTGGTGAGAGTGTGTGCTCTTAGCAACAAGGTTGGTTTCTGGTTCAACTCCCGCATGGGATGGTGGGCTATGCCCACCCGCAACTAAGATTGAACACAGCACCTTGAGCTGAGTGGCCGCAAGCTGCCGACGGGCAGCCAGATGGCAACTGGACTTGGAGCTGAGCTAGCTGCGCCCTCCACAACTAAGACTGAAGGACAACAACTTCCCCGTCCCCAATTCCCCAATAAAATCTTAAAAAAAAGAAAGAAAAGGTTAAAAATGGCAAACCTCAGTGTATTTTGCCACAATAAAACATAACCAAACAGATGTATATAGTAAGCTCTTAGAGTATCCTCTAAGAAAATCACTCAAAAAATTTAAGGTAAAAAAAGTATTAAAGGTACTGAACTGCTACTCTAGAAAATACTAATTTAATGCAAAAGAAACGATTAACAGGGTGATAAAGGAAAAAGACATATTACATATTGTGAAACGGCAGAGGACAACCCGAGCATATCAGTAATAATATGAATGGATTGAGGAGGCAACCAGCCCTGCTGGGAGGGCGCCTTCCTGGAAGAAGGAGCAGGTGTGCAAAGGTCCTGGGGTAGGAATGAGCTGGGTGCTGCTAAAAGGAGCTGGGTGCTGCTAAATGAAAAAGGTTGAGCCTCCAGTCCCCTCCTGGCCTTCGGTCCAGCTTGTTGGGTAGGGCTTGTCTTACATCAGTGGCTGTGGGGAGCTGGGCTGGCCTGGAGGGAACAGGTCTCCAAGGAAGCTGAGAACCTCCTCAGCCATCTCCACAATCCTGAGGGAGGAGCAAATTAAACTCCACCCAAAGATGTCCCTCCCTGTCCCCAAGGGAGTACACACTGTGGATGGGTCCTTCAGGATGTGATGGGTGGCTGGCTGGAAATCCCTTCATTACTTGCAAAATGTCCTTTGCCAGGACCCTGGATTTTGCAAATAAATGTCACTAATGAAAGAGCTACCATTTAATGCAGTGGTTCTGCTCCTTCTGTGAACCTTGGCCACAGCAACTTCGGCAACTTTGGAGGGATTGCGAGGTAGGTGGCTGAACTGAGCCCCTGGAATGTGAGCTGGGCTGCGTTTTCTGGATGTTTTGTTGATTAGTTTATCTCAAGCCTGGCACACTGGAGGTGTCCAGTTGATTTTGGACGAATTAGTTTTTTGTTTTAAATCTTATGGTATTTAGAATGACAAAATAAAGACCCCCAATGACCGTTATGGGACTTTTAGCTCCATGAGACCATATCAGGTTCCTGACCTCTAAAACTGAGAATGTATTAGTTTTTTTAAAAGGTTTTATTGGGGAATTGGGGGAGAGGAACAGTGTTGGGGAATTGGGGAAGGGGAACAGCCAAGTTGCTGCTCTTCAATCTTAGTTGTGGAGGGCGCAGCTAGCTCAGCTCCAAGTCCAGTTGCCATCTGGCTGCCCGTCGGCAGCTTGCGGCCACTCAGCTCAAGATGCTGTGTTAAATTTTAGTTGCAGGTGGGCGTAGCCACCATCCCATGCGGGAGTCGAACCAGCAGCCTTGTTAAGAGCGCACGCTCTATCCACTGAGCCAACTGGGCAGCAGCTCAACTCAAGGTGCCAAGTTCAGTCTTAGTTGTGGGTGGGCGTAGCCCACCATGGAACAGGCAATCTTGTTACACCAGCTGAGCCATCCTGCCACTTGTTGGCAGCTCAGCGACAGTTCAGCTAGGGCACAGCGTCACTGGCCCATGTGGAATCAAACCAGCGGCCCTGTTGCTCAGAGCTCGTGCTCTTAAGCCAACTCTTAACCAACTGAGCCTCTTGGCAGGCCCGAGAATGTACTCAAGACAGTTTGTGGTGAGTGGTCCCAGTGGCCACAGGAGACCCATACACACTAGAACCCATTTTACCCAGAGTTGTTTCCCAGGGCCAGTATCTCAAGGGCCCAGGAGTCCTTCCTCACCTTGTGGAGAGGCCAGTCTAGCCACAGCAGAGGCAGTCCTGTGTGCAAGCCCACTGACTCCCCTCTCTTCTCGGGCTGCATTGAATGTCAAAGCCCCATGCATCTGGGGTTGGGGGACAATTAAGAAAATGGACAAAAACCACATGGTATGAGACCAAAACATCCAAGGTTTGACTCTGCGGGCCGGGCCCACGTGTTAAGCAGGAAAGCGTGGCCCCTATGGGGTGTGTGACTCCCAGGGCTCTACAGGCCGCTCCTATCTCCCACTCCTCACTCACCTTTAGGATCCACCCTGGAGGACTGGAGCCCAAAGGCCAAAAGCAAGCTGCTTCACTCCCTGGCCAAGCCCTACCTCTTGTGCCCCACTAAGTGCCCCAATTGCCATGCTGCGTCCTACAGCCCTGATTGTCCTGATGCCCATACCACCTATGTCAACAGCTCAGTTTGTGCAAAGGTGAGCGACCTGTCCAAGGCCACAGTCCAGGTGTCACTCCTGCAGGGACTGGGGAGACCTGGCCAATTGCCAGCCAGATATGTCTGGATGCCTTTTCCTGGGTGCCTAGTGAGGGGTCGAAAACCCCAGAGCCCAGGGCCCCTCACACTGGCTCTGCAGCTCTCACCAGGACCCCACCCCACACCAACCTAAACCCACATCCGCAAAAACCACAAGACCACTAGACCGGCTGAGTTGGAGCCGGCTCCCCGACTCCAGCGGGCCACAGGTAGGCAGGGGCCCTTTCCCTGGCAGGGAGGGAACAAATGACAGGACATGAGTTCTAATCCAAACGCACTTCTCTTTATTCAAACCAGGGTCAAACTGGTCAGTGGGGATGCCCTGAAGCCACGTACGCAGGAGGTCGGCTGACAAGGCCTCCTCACCCTTGATGCCGGTTAGATGTAGGTGGACTCCCACGAGCCCACGGCGTGGCAGGCCTGGCACCGCCAGGCAGGTCAGTCGACAAAAGCAAGGAATAAACAAAAACAAACACACTCAGTAGATCGCTTCTTTAAGCTCCAGAATTTCTGGACCGAAGAGTCCCAACCCTCAGAGCCAGGAGTGCGGGGACCAAAAACGCCCCTCACTTCCACCAGTGCAGACGGAAACCCTGTTTTAAATTAAAAAATAAGCCAGTATACATCGTAGAAAATTTCTCTTAAAAATCTCACAATTTGTAAATGTATATTTTTTCTTTAACATAAAAGTTTACAATATACGGTAAAACAAAAGGCTCAGGAAAATAATTTCAAAAAAAAAGAGAAAAAAAAAGAAACCTGAAGTTTTGAATTAAAGCTGAAGACATTTTTTTTTAAACCCTGTTGTTGAACCAGTGACTTTTTTTTTTTATTGTGCTGATGGGTTAGAGAAAGAAATATATTTAAAAACTTCAGTCCAGACACCCACAGCCGTCTCCAAAAGCCTCGTGCCCGCCCCTCCCCCCAAGGTTGAATTGCGAATTTTTCTGCCAAGTTTGTGATTGTCACGAGTTCACAAGTTTCGAATCCTGGGTCTTGGCTGTCTCGCCGTCCGCCTGGCGCTGGCCGGCTATAGCGTCTGGAGCTGGCCGGCTAGCGTCGGTAGGGGTGGAATCCTTGCACGTTGTGGTTCTGCCCTCTTCCAAAGCCACTTCCGCCGGCAGGGGGCCCCCCCGAGCCCGGCACTGAGGGGCCCCCGTAGGAGGGGGGCTGCTGGCTGGGGTCTGAGAATCCCTGGCCAAAGCTGGACAAGTCCTGTCCATAACCTACAGGGAGAGAGTGTGGTGAGCAGGCTGGAGAGTGACTGCACGTACCACCGCCTACAGGACCCAGGGTTCCGCTCCCGCCTGGAGTCACGGACGGGGCTCCCAGAAGCATTTGTCTCCTGGAAAGCCTGCCCTGAAACCCCGGCAGGACCCTGTCTCCACAAGTTAAGAAAAGAGGGTCCAAGACCTTGAAGACCCTTGGTATGCCCAGTCTATCCTGTCTGATCTCGGCCATTCCCCACACATTTCTGTGGATTCAGGGTGGGGCCCTGGTGGCAGAGTCAAGGCCTAGAGAGGCCTTCGAGCTTGGGGATGCACATCACATGACCTGGCTCGGTGGACCTCAGGCTCCTAGAAAGTCTGTTCTCTAGTAGGCAATGCAGAGTGGGCTCAGGCACAGCAATTCAGGGTTTAAGGAAACATCTCACCAGCCCTGGCTTCCCTCCAGGATGCCTCCCCAGACCCCAGGCAGTCCTCCCTCCAAAGGTGACCCACCCTGGCAGCTTCCATAAAACCAAGTAGCTTGGGGCTGGGCAGTGACTGCATGCTAGGAGCGCTGGGCTTTGATGGCTCAAGTGATGTACCTGCAGAGCCTTCTGGACCTGGCAATCCCTCCTCTAAACAGGACCCTGCACTGCTGACCTTGGAGGGTATGGAGGTGCTCTGGAAAGGGGAGTGGCACCGTCCTCGCTCCCAGCCCACCCGGACCACACATTTGCATGAAGGCCGTCCCAGGGCCCCCTGAGGAGACAGAGCTCTTGGCCCTGTCCCAGAGGGCACCATGGGCCCACCCCCGCCCGGGACGGCAGAGGACACGATGTCCATGGCCCGGGTGCAGGCAGGTGGGGACCGTGGACGAGGAGGCGCCACCTACCTAGGCCACATCACTGCTCAGCCTGACCATAAGATTGTAAACAAAGTATGGGCCCGAAGCCCGCCGGGTCTTGAGAATAGGTACCCAGGCCTGGCGAGAGACGAGACCAGGGTGACTACCCCAGGGTGGCCCTGGTGGGCATGGGGCAAAAAGGGGACACGCTCACACTCAAGTATACTCCCACCCAGGGCGGCCAACACATCCTGTTTCAGGTGGGATCGAGAACCCACACAACCCCGTGAGTCCCCAAGGGAAATAGGAGTATGCAATATAGGGGTGCTGTGTGGGGCACCTGGTCAGCCAGTGGGGACCACATTTGACGGCAAGAGTGGCTCAATGTGCAGACACAGCCATCTTAAGTGAAACACAATTCAAGCTATGATGCGGGAAAGGGAGGCTGAAGCTCTCACAAGAGCCCTGGAGGCCCTGGCCCCTTGCAGCTGCCACCTGCGCAGTCGGCAGAGGAGGAACCCCAGTGTGGTGAGACCCTGGGCCATACTCCATCCTTACATAAGCATCCCCACTCGGCCACCACCTTGCAGATCCTGGCTCAGAAGCACCTACCCCACAGCCAGCTGCTTGGCTAAAGCCCAAAGCCAATGCCCAAGCCAGCACCTGCCATAGACCAGAGCCATGGTCGACAAGCCTGCTCATGCTCTGCCCTTGGAAAACCGAGGCACCTGATGGACAGGCCTGCCAGGGCCCCCAAGGCCTGACAGTGGTCGCAGCCCTTGGGCCACCATCTGCCTGGGGGCCCAGTCCCGGCCTTGGGGTCCCAAACCCACAGACCCAGGGACACCTGCTATGCAACCCATGCTTTCCTACAACTAACACACTGGCAAAGACCCCAGCAACCAAGATCCTGCTTGACCCCAGGTCATGTGAACACTCCAACAGCCCCACACCACGGGAAGGGGCATGGGGGGCAGGCCAGCCACCTGGCCCATAAAGGCTGCTGGTAAGTAGAGGCGCGGCCACTCACCGTACTGACTATAGGGGAAGTCTGGCTGTGCCGTCGGGGGCTTGCTCATGTCAGGGGCAGCCTGAGATGGAGGCGGCGGGAAGGCCAGAGGTGCTGCCCCTGGGGTGGCCGGTGGCGGGGGGACTCCTGGAGGGGCAAACTGATCTGGCGGTGGAGGAGGAGGCCCATAGCCAAAACCTGCAAACAGGACAGAAAGAACAGACACCATTCTCGCCTGCAGCCTAGCCACCAGGAGCTGCCTGGGGATTTCCCACAGGACGATCTGGAGCCACACGCTAGCCTGCCCAAGGCAATGACCAACATGCAAACTGGGCACAGTATGGCAGCGGGAAGCTATGCAGGCCCCGGGAGCTGCCTGCAGTGGTGTTGGCTAGAAACTGACGAAGTGGTCAGTGCTCTGGAAGGCTCCTTAACAAGATAGGAGGTGACTGTCCAACACAGCACAATCTGCATGCTCTGGGAAGACAAAGATCACGGCTACCTGTGCTGTCCTCTGGCTTGAGACACCCCATTTCTAGCTCTCATCTTGCCAGGAAGAAAATGAGATGTGATCTAGGCCAGGAGCGGACACACATTTTCTGTGAAGGGCCACACAGTCCTCATGTGGCTATGGTCCAGGCCACAGAACTGGCCAGGCCTCAGCCAGTGACCACTGAGCCTGCAAATGTGGCTAGTTCACACTGTGGCCCTCCCTGAGAGTGACACGCAGGGATCCCAAAGACATAGTAGGAAAAAGGTTGTAGGAATAGTATGTGGCCATGCTGGGTTAGGTGAGGGGTCCCTCTTCACTGTCAGAAACCCAGCTCCCAGTGTGTGGCCGCTCCCTTTTGTTCCGAGGAACACCCTAACCTTCCGGGTGAGCTGGCTGCTTGACGCCCAGATCTCCAAATACAATCAAAGCACAGACTAAAGTAAATCAAGACGTTAAGCCCCCTCAATTCTAATCTCAGATATTAGGTCCAGATGCCTGTCCTGAGGGATGACCGTGAGAAAAACGGGGTCTTTGTGTTGTGTCAACTCATGAAGCCACCCCACAGATGGAGTGCACTTCTGTTTGACAAGGGGGCCAAGGCCAACAGCTGTGCAGGCCACAGAGCTAGCCCATCTTTTTCCTCCAGTCAGAGGGACGGAGACAGGTAGCATCCAGCACAGAGCCTCACCACACACACAAGTGAGCGCCAGGCAGAGGCTGCAAAAATGCAGGTCAAGGTGTGCAACAAAGGCCCTGCCACAGCCCCTAGACTTACTGAACTGCGGGGGTGCGCCGTAGCCCTGTGGAAAGCCCTGTGGAGGGGGAAACCCTCCAGGAGGGGTGGACACGATGTAAGATGTGAATGGCGGGGGCGGTGGTGGGGCTCCTCTTCCCGCAGGGGGTGGTCCGTAGCCACCTGAAAAGCAGGGCACAGGGTACAGGACAGCATGGCACACACAGCCCCACCCACCCAGACCCAGGCCCCCACACTCTGGATTCCATTTCCTTACCAATTGCCTGTCCTGCTGGCACCCACATTCCTAAACCGGAAAACAAAGAGGGGGGTGGTGCTATGTCAGCTCAGCATCAGGACTGGGGGCTAAGCCATGCCCTCGTAGCACATGGCGGAGTACTCCCAGAGTCTCACTGGTGGACACAGGGAGGATGTCCCAGCCCCAAGGGACCTGCCAGAGGTGCCCCTGTAATATCTCAAGAACACTGGATATCAGCACAGGGCTTGCTGTCCCTATCCTTCCACAGAGGTGGCTCCCAAGAAAAGCCTTCGTGTCACATGGCCCCAGCTCTTCAACAGAACCAGCAGACTGGATAGAGGGGATGAAGACAGACCAAGAACTTGGGTACATGTGTGGGGCCTCAGGCCCGGATGGCTACAGGCCAAGCACAGGTCCTTCTCCTGTTGTTGGATGAGCATCTGATCTCAGTGAAGGTTTTCCTGCATCTGTGTTTTATTTTGCAATAAAATTCAGGTTTTAAAAAAGACAACTCTGGAGAAACCAGGGATAAAGCTTCAAGCTCGGTAGATGGCTCTGCAGGCTTGGGGGTAATGAGTGCCCTGGATGCCAAGAGCCCCACCCCTCCTCCTTTTGCCCCTTCTTGGATGCTGCCACTTCATTGGGTTTCCAATGCTGGTGGAGGCTTGCAGATCCTGCCCAGGGCCCCCAACCCTCCTGCCAGGCTGTGGATCACAGAGCTGACAGCCAAGCTGGCACCAGCCCACAGCCCGGGAAGCAGGGACAGACCCAAAGAACCGAAGAGGCAGAACTCTCCTTCCAACCGGGCGTAAACCCCACTCCTCCTAGAAGGCTATGGTCAGTCTTCCAGCCAGGAAGGCCACATCCACCCTCACTGTGGGCTGTCTACCACACGCTCGCCATCAAAGACATAGGTCAAAGTGATGGATGCCCAACCTGCCCCAGAAAAGGGAAAGGACTGCATGACAACGTGAGGCGTCTAATTGTTCACTCAGACCCACGTGTGTGAGGATGCCCACTGCAGCTCTGCTGGCCCCTATTTGCCCAAACTTTAGATGGGGACTCAGCTGGGGCCCCAAGCACATCAAAGGACACACAACCCTCAAGAAGGACCAGGTGACAACATGGAACCCAGAAACCCATCACTAGGTGGTGGGTCAGGAGCCTCACCTCTGCACTAAGTCTGGAGGAAGGGGTGCCGGTGGCCTTACCTTGCGGGCCATATCCTTGCTGCCACGTGGGTGGGGGCTGGCCTGCCCAGCCATTGGCAGCACTAGGAACGACACGGCTCCCCCACTGGCTGGCCCCTGGCTGGCCGGGTGCTTGGCTTTTGCTGTCCCGAGGCTCGGCCCGTTTAACTTCAACCTAGACAAACCGAACTCTGGTTCAGGGGGCCGCGAGGGTCCCGGGCCCCTTCCCTTTAGACACACCCTCAGGTAACTTACTACTACACTTAGCATCTTATTACGACTTAAAACTAAATACTTAACTATAAACCGTATTTAGGCTAGTAGCTGTTTTCCTTTAAAAATTTTTTTGTTGTTTATAATTATTTTATCTAAAAAATGTTTCTCAGGTACAACAGATGCAACCGTGACATGCTAAGCCCTATGCGCTGCAGAGCAGGGACCAAGGGCCAAGAACCCTTGAGCGTTTTGTGTGTGACAAGGGTCTCTCAGTTGAGTTAAAATGGCAGTGTCCTCCTTCAATGGCCTTGTAAACCTGGGGACAGAGATCAGGGCCGTTCCAAAAATTGCAGCCCTAGTCACAAGGCTCCCCGGGACTCCCAAGTGGCAGGAGCCAGCCACCGTTCACACCCAGGTGTAAGGGGACTTCCACTGGGAGCCACCCAAGACCTCTACAGAGCCCACCCACCCTGCCTGCGCCTTCAGCTCATACCTGAGAAACACAGTTGGTTTACTTAGGTTTATTTAAAATGTCTAAAGGAAGATAAAGACTTACCTTCCCCAGGCTAACGCTTAAAGAATCTCAATTAACTCAAAATAATGTCAGAGGGAATGGATGTGATAGTCTTACATTACATCTAACAAAAAGGTAAACAAACATGCAATAAAATGGACATTTGAATCAGTAAGCAATCTTCATACTGTGTTAGGTCAGCAGCCCAGGACCCTTCCTCTTTGGACCTGGCAGGAGCTACAGCAAGGGGAAGTGCCCGGACAGTGGGGAGTGGCTTGTCCTACTTATGCCATACACTGCCTCCTTCATGCAGCCTAAGGACAAAAAGATGCCCCAATTCCAGGGTTGCCTCAGCATTTGATAATCCTGACTTTTTCTTGTTTTCATAAATTTTAATGAGGAGACAATGAACCCACTGGGAGTCACCCTTGGGATCTGTCTGGTGAGTTAAGCATTATATATCAGAATTCCTTAAAATTCCTTCCTCTTAGGAAATAAACAGGAAGTAGGGCAGAGGCACAAAGACCCCCACCTTTCTGATGCCCCAAGGACGTTCCACGGATGGGAACCAAGTCCTCGGATTAAGGAGTCTTCACACACTCTCCTTAAGGGAATTTGGCTCCTGCTTACAAAGCAAAGCAGACCTTGTAATTAAAAAAATTCCTTTACCTTCTTCTTATGGGAACACGGATAGTCATTCTACTCTGATTTTAATTACAAATGGGACCTGAGCCCATTACACATGGAAATCCCCACTGAAGAGCTGGCGGGGTCCAGTGAAGGTTGGGCAACAGGAGCCAGAGTCCTGCAGACATGAGAAGCCACCTCAGTGTCCACTCTGAGCAGCCCAGACTCAGACAGCCTGCATCCCACAAAATGGGACTGGGGGCAGCCGCCCAGAGTGGGTGCCAATCTGTTCACTTAGCAGACCTTTCTGCCCCTGAAGCAGAACCACGCTTCTTCAAGTTTTAACCATCACAGGACTTTAAATTATTGAATGCAGGCTCCTTGCACCTTGTGCTCATAACTGGCATGCATCCTTAAAATCTGCACGCTGATTTTAAACTAGAGGCTTCAACGTCAGAGTGAGATGCATGTCTCCTGCTTAGTCAGGTTCAAATGGAATTCATTACACCTGCAACAAAACCTGAGCCCCCTAAGGGGAGAGCAAGGCTGCAGGCTGGCTGGGTGGTGGGACAGCCCTGGTGCGATACTCCCTCCAATGTCTCAATCAGAAGGGCTGGGCGTGCTGAGCCGGATGTGGAGCTGGTGGCATGCACCACCAGGGACTGCCACTGGGCAGGTTTTATAAGGGCCCAGATGGGAATCCTGCAAAAATGTGGACCCCAAAGGCTTCACTAGCCATAAGAAATCCCACACTGCAGAATTTCTATCAATTATTCATTTTACAGTTAACTTCGCCAACAGCTCAAAGGGCCTGGGACAATGAGTTAGGAGCCGCTTTCTGACAGTTACCTCCGTGGCAGCAACACAGTATGAAGATGAAACAACCAGAGGTCACTTGACTGCATGGAGTTAAGTACTACTGAGAGCATGTGGTTGGTACCGGAGTTTCACAGTAAGTGACCCAAGTTAAAACCACCAATCCTTCAGGATGTTTACATTTCTTTCAGTTTTACACAGAACCTCTTCTCAAAGGTTCACTGCCCACCATGGGTCAGATGAAACAATCAAAATACAGGACAGACATCTGAAGGAGTGGTCAGTGGAACCAAGCCTGAGGCAACCCACGATTTCACTTGGAGGCCCGCCCCACCCCCGCTTCCCTACAGAGCTGCCCTGCCACTGTAGGCCCAGGTCCCACCCCACAGCAGCCATTCGCCGGGCGCTTGTCTGTGAAGGAATTTTTGTTTCCAGTGAAATCCCTTAGTTGCCTGAGACTTGGTTTGGTCTGAAGGTAAAATAAAACTACCACTACACACTTTTTTGCCCATGATGTCGTGAAAATGCATGTTGACAGCCTGGTCCACTGATTGTTCGTCCTCGAAAGTAATAAATCCAAAACCTAGCCAACGACGAAGAGTGAATCAAGGTAGCAGGGTGTTGTGACACAAAACAGGATGATGAACAGTATTAGGGACGGACCGAGGGATCGACCCAGGGCTTCAGCGAAGCGAGTGAGGGAGGAGGCTGTGGGGCCACCAGGGTGACCCACTGAGGCAGGGAGAGCTCTGCAGGATGCCTGAGCCACAGCTCGGGCTGGGGTTCCACATGGAGACACTTGGGAACAACTGGGGCATCTCTTAGAAAGTGGCAACCCGAAAAGCACAGCGGCAAGGGCCATCAAACACGGCAGGACACCGTGCCGCACCGGTGCTAGAACATTCTGTGGAAGACAAGGGCAGGCAAGGAGCGGGTCAAGAGCTCCGCCTCGGTCACAAGTGTGCTGTGGGTGTGCTGCTGCTCCGCTGAAACCCAGGATTCTCCCCCTCGGCTTGCAATTTGCTTCACAGCCAGTGCTGACAGCAGCCATATACTGTCCTAGCGCGTTAACATACGTCTACCGCAGTTAGTGCCTCGCTAGGCTTATCCAACACTGTTGGGTAAGCCCAAGGAGTCCTGTCAAGGTCACATACGTATGTATACAGGTATCTATCTATACGTATCTACGTAATAAAATACACAAAGATACAGGCCACAGCGGGTTCCAGCAGGTCAACTCTGCTGTGAGCAGCAAGAGCAAGAGACACCATGTCATCAAAAAGAGAATTTTAAAGGGAAAAAAATTTAGCATTTCCCAAACACAAGTGGCAGTATAAACGAAGTTTGGTTGGTCTGGGTGAGCGTGAAGGCCCGGCTAACGTGGCGTGTCTGGTCCTCAGCCCATTGCACTGGCTCCCGGGCCCATCTGCTGTGAGCACAAAAGGATGCACACGGCAGACAGCTCCCAGAAGTCCCCGAAGAACAAAAGATGGGGAAGGGATGAGGGCCGAGAAGGGGCTAAAGATGGGTGTGGGGGGAGAAGGATAGTGCCACATGGCAGAGGTGCAGAGCCAGGGGCACATCTGTGCTGGAAGGGCAGGAGCAGCCATGCCCAGAGCCATGTGGGAATATTGTAGGCAAAACAGTGGTGGAAAAAGTATGGAAACGGGGAGAAGGCAGCTCAGAAAGTTGGGTGACAGACTGGCAGGGAAGACAGCTGGGATTAAGGAGCCTTCAGCCGAGTTCTCTCTACACACGCACGCACACAGAATCTACGCATGGCGTGAGAGAAGAAACAGAACCATGATGGCAAAACAGGAGAGGAGACAAAGCTGGAGCAGAAGGGACAGAGGAGAAAGGGGCGAAGTAAGGGTAGCAGCAGGCGAAGAGGGCTGGAGGTCAGGGGCTCCCTGGCTGGCAGACACGCAGAACCTGAAGCAGGGACACTGCCTTAAACTGAGGGAGGGAAGGAGGGAGTGAGAGAGGGAGGGAGAAAGAAAGGAGCGAGTGAGTTCAGAGCTCTCGTGAGAGGTTTCCGGAAAGTAAAGTAGGAGTGAGCTCTAGGGTGCCCGCTGACCAACCGCTGCTCTGGGCGTCGCTCCCACCCTCTGCTTGCCTAACACTCCAGAGGACTTGGGACACGCAGAGTCCGATGGCTGAAGACGGTGTGCGCCACACAGGAACACAGCCCAAGGGCCAAGCCCAAAGTGCTCTCCCCACCAGCCCGTCCTGCCTGCACCCACGGCCCCGGGCCCAGGCAAGGATAACAGGCAGTCTAGGGAGTGACCCAGGGAATCTAAGCAGCCCTTGGGGTCCCGTGTCCTGAGGCTTCACAAGATCGGAGGCAATGGTGAAACACAGCATGAGTGATGAATGCATATTACAAGTTAACATTTTCTCAGTGTGCAGGAGTGTCTGAAACCACAGGGTTCGCGCAGTCCGTTAGGGCACAAGAGGCGGTGACTCGTGATTAAGGAGCCCGGGGCGGGGCGCCTAGGGACGCATCTGTGTCAAGAGACGACATCACCACTGAGGAAGCGGCACAGAAACACACTGAAACTTCGTTTACACCCCACTGGAGCAAAGCCCGCTCCCTCCTCTGACTGCAGGATGGCCTGTACCTGTGTGATATAATTTAGCACCTGGAGAAAAGAAATCTAAAGAGAGATCGTTAATCACAAAAAACCACAGAAAGGAAAAACAACTAACTTACTTAACGTTACTGTATTTACTACAAAACACTTAAGTATGTTACTAAGCATGTACGGCTACGTTAAAATTAAGACTAACACTTAACAGCTTAATCAACATGAAGTGAGGAGACATTACTTAATCATGGAGTAAAGGGTGGAAGTTCAAATGGCAAACTATTCTCCAGCATGGCGGGCGCATGCTGCGGGCAGCCAGCCCCGCACTCTAGGGGCCTCTCTGCAGGGCAGGGGCTGCAGAGCCCAGACTGGGCCCAAAGCGGCTGATGAACCAAAACAGATGGGCAGGAACAAACAGCAACAGCCACAAAAAAAAGAAAAGAAAAGAAAAGAAAAAAAGGCACGGATATCAGCACCCGCTGTCCCAGCTCCAGCCCCAGGCGTGCAAGGTGGGGTCAGCTCAGGGGATCCTGGTAGGGACCATGGAGGAGGCCTTGCCCCTCCTCCCACCGGCCCCATTGACTGAGGAGAAAAAAGAAAAACAGGAAAAAAGGATGGGATGGATAAAGGAAGCTCCACGTTTGAGCTGAGCTGGGGTAGACCTGGCCTGATGACATGGAATGAGACATCTGACTGCAGTGGTGTGAGCTGAAAACAGCACATGGTTGCAACTGAGAAAGGTCATGGCACAAAAGAACCACAAGTCTTTCAGTGCACACCGAAAACCAGAAACCATGTTCAAATACATGTGAGGTTGTAAAAACTTCAAAAGAATGAGCCAAAAAAAAAAAAAAAAGCCAGTAACATCTGACCTTGGGAAGCACAGACAAGCTGGGGCTGCACAGGAAGAGCCTACATTTTAATCATTTGTCTGTCTCCAAATCACACTTTTCTGAGGAAATGCTTGCTACAACCACCACCTATTTGTGAGATAGTTTGCCATCTGATGGGGGGAACGGTCAAGGACAAACTCCATCTCTTTTACCTCGAGGCCTCTGCTTCTCTGCATCGTAGATCATGACCACTTCTGTGACCTGCAAGAGAGATGGCCGTTTGAGGACCCAGGTGCCACGAGCATCTCTGGCTATAACAAAACACCCTAGCCCAACGCCTGCTGGGAATGTCTCCAGCCTAGGGAGTCCTGAGGCAAAAGGCCAGCCCTCCTGGGGTGATGTCCGAGACACACGGGGTCAGGAGCTGGCCAAATGCTCCCTCTGTCCCCTGAGCTCACAGGGCAGGCGGCTGGACACCAGGGACCCAGGCCACCACTCCACAGGGTAGGTGAGAACGGGAGACCCAAAGGGTGCTGTCCCATTCAGATGCCAGGACGGAATGACTCAGAGCGCTAGTGCTCCCTTGGTCAGCATCCCCATTGTCCTACTGACCTGGCACATGCCCCAGCCCTCCCTGCCTGTTGTCCCTGGCTCACTAAGCACATCTCTCACTGTATACTTTGACACTCCTAAACCCTGGCCCACTCAGGTGCCATCCAAAAAACTGGCTGTAGCAGCACACAGGGCCACACCACTAACAGGACACTGTGAGCAGCAGGAGCCTGGGGTGGCCCATGCGACAGCCCCATGCACTCTGGCTCCCAAGCCCCATCTTTTCCTCTGCTGGCCTCACTAGAACCAAGTTCCCTGTATGACCTTGATGAACTCTAACCTCCATGAGATTCTAAAGGATTGTAGCCTCTCCCAGAAAACAGAAGCACCCTTAGGAAAAAGTCTGTGTCACAGAGGAAATGCTGAGCAGGACACAGAGCCAGACCCAGGGACCCCCCCCTCCAGACAGTGGGGTCCGCACTGCTGGTCTAAGGACCTGGGAATGGTCCCTGCTCTAGAGCTCCTCCACCAGACCAGGCCCGCCCTACCTGTGATGGGCACTTCGTCTAGGGTCCCAGGGCAGGTGGACCTGATCTGGAATGTTCCCTCCTGTGATCAAGGACAGATGGCTGACTTCCCCCAAACACTGTCCAGTGCTTTAGACCACGGTAGTCACAACCAACCGGAAGGCCTCCCGGTGGCTGGCCTGGTGAGTTTCCTCTGCCTGGAAAAACTGTGACTACACTCCTGGGTGGTATGTGACCATGAAAGGGAAGGATGGGGCTCTGGTTTGTTCTGTTTGGAGGGGGGCGGGGATACAGGCCAAGAGGACAGAGCTGCCAAACTGAGCTTCCCTGTGGACACGTGGCTTGCCACTCCCGCCCCAACTAGGCCAAGCTGAGCAGCTGCTGCCCAAAGCTGCTGGTGTGGGAAGAACTTACCACTCCGAATTTCTTGAAGTATTCCCTGAGCTCTGTCTCACCACAATTGTGAGGAATTCCACCGACAAATATCTTATTTGATTTACTGTTATCGCTCCTGGGTCCTTTCTGCTGTTTTGAAAGGAAAAGCTGGTTAGTCCACGTGGGGAGCCCTCAGCACGCTCCTCAGAGTATGCGTCTCAGCACGGGCTCGGTGCCAGCTAAAGCCACCAAACACTCCAACAAAAGTACAGTGATTCCAAAGAGAACCCAAACCAGCCAGTCGTGTTCCCAGAGACCCAAGGAGACCGGGAAGAGCATTGCTGAAGCGCTTACTCAGCAGGCCGCAGTCCTGCGCTTAATTACTCTGAATCCCAACAGCTCCAGAACTTAAAAAAGCTCTCTCCATTGTGAAACTAAGGGTTTTAGCAGAGTGAGGAAGACACAACAAGGCGGATTCCAAAGTTAAGACTAGCAGAGACGAGGCTGATTTTCAGGTGCTGGCTTTCAAGCTGGTGACCAATGACGATAATGGAAAGTTCAGTAAAAGAAGAGTCACACCACTATTGGCCTCATCTCTCGCCTTCGCCAACCCCAATCACACTCTCTGTGGGACAACCTCACACCTTGGAGGGAAACGCTTGCCTACAGTTCGGCACTTGGAGACCAGACCCGGGGTGAACGCGTCCACCTGGCCTTGTCAGGTGGACCTGAAACTCGGCTCCCGCCCCTGCTGCCCCCTCCACTTCTAACACCCCTTCTTCTTTCTACCCAAGGAGCTCATGAATTAAGTCACCCCAACTATCCTGGATTAGCAAAGACTAAACTTCTGGGGGTAGGCAAGGGGTTCCCAGGTGTGTCTATTCTGTCTTAATAAAGCTGCTGAGAGACTACAGGACATTAACCAAACAGAATCTGAGCCCTGTTTGGAGTCCAGTCTGAAAGGCTGTGAAGGTTGCCTGTGAGACAATCCTGGGACGTGAGCATGGCTGACACAGGTGACATTGGGCGTTACTGCAGGCGTCATAGCTGTGGGGATGAGGGTTCCACAGGAGATTGGACTTTTAGAAGTATGCTCTAGAATTTAGGAGTGGTGATATACGCAACAGAGATGGAAATCAAGATAGATAACTTTGGCAAAATAGTAACAAATGATGGATCTAGGTGGTGCATTTAAGCGTTCATTGTACTACTCCTCTATTTTCCTATAATTCGAAAATTCCCCTAATAGAAAGTTGGAAAAATAAAAACGGTTTTAAGGGCCGGCTGAGTGGCTCAGCTGGTTAAGAGCGCGAGCTCTCAGCAACAGGGTCACCAGTTTGATTCCCACATGGGCCAGTGAGCTGCGTTGCCACTGAGCTGCCAACAGGATGCCTCAGCTGGTGAGAGCATGTGCTCCTAACAAGGTTGCTGGTTCAACTCCAGCATGCGATCGGGGGCTATGCCCCCCGCCGCCCCGCAACTAAGATTGAACACGGCACCTTGAGCTGAGCAGCTCTGAGCTGCCGACGGGCAGCTAGATGGCGACTGGACTTGGAGCTGAGCTAGCTGCGCCCTCCATAACTAAGATTGAAGGACAACAACTTGGCTGTTCCCCTTCCCCAACTCCCCAATAAAATCTTAAAACAAACAAACAAACCGGTTTCAAGGGCCTGAGGCCTGTCTGTCTGCAGCAGGTGGGATCCTGCTAGAAACGCAGGTTCTTAGGCCCCAGCCCAGACTTGCAGTTCAGACATGCGTGGTGGGGCCCGCACTCAGCATCTGAACTGCTTCAAGCCCACCTCTGTCCAGTAGGACTTTCTGCGAGGACAGGAGCATTCCAGGTGACAGTCTTCTGAGAACTGCTGGGTGGAGGAAGGGGAGGTGTGGGCGGTAGATGAGAGGACAGGCTTGCTCCAGCTGCCTAGCACCTGGGGCCATACATGGCTCAGAGGGAATCTCCAGGAGTCACCACACTGGCCCAGTATGTTGTTCAAGCAACCAGGCTCTTGGACTTGGCCGTGCCTGTGTGCCCTGGCGCCTGGATGGGGGTGGCCCGCAGAGCTGCACGAGCAGATGCCTGGGAGTCAGGACAACCAGACCACCAAGCAGTGGGGAGTAAAGGGAGAAGCTGCTCTCTTGCCCTCTCTCTCAGGCAGGCTGGGAGCAGTTGGGGCGGACAAAACGGAAGGCTCCAATGACAAACAGGTATGAGGTATCATTGTTTTTAAGATCGACAAACAAAAATATTCTCCTTGGCCACAAGATAAAAAACTTACAGCATTGGATAAATCTGAGCAATTCTTGGCTGCTCAAGCATGAAAGGGAACCACTTTTTGTCACTCTCAATGTTAATAAGCAAAACACCAGGTCAAAGGCACGTGTGTCCTTTAACTGGCTATGGAACAAACAAGGTTGCCCAGGCCGGCCCCTTACCCAGCCTTCCTTTGGCCGCGTCCTCTCCGGCTGCATCCCCCGAGGTGTGCATGGCTTTGGGTCGATCTGTAGGAAGTTTCAAATGAGCCAGTTGTGACTACGAGGCTATTTTCTCTAGAAAAGGTGTCAGTGACAGTAGCACAGCACACGCACACAGGCCCCAGTCAATTCACCCCGTCTCCGTATGCAACTCCAACATGCAGTTAAACACAGAGCCTTAATCCTTTCAAATCGATGCATAGAAGACCCTCTTTACCACCAACACCCATCAGTGCTCAGGGACAGCAGACTGAAGGGCAAGTGGGAAATAGCAAGGGAGCTCGATTGGAGGAGGACTCTTACATTTCGGCCGTCCAGTGTGTGTGGTCTGCTGGCCAGCACTGTGCCCACACAGTTGGGATCTTTAAATTTGACAAAGCCGAAGCCTCGAGACTGGTTGGTCGTCTTATCTTTCATAATCACGCAGTCGACGACCTCTCCATACTGGGAGAAGTAGCTGCGTAGAGTCTCTGCTCAGAGATTGGGACAAAAACACAAACACACACACCAGAGTGTTAGGCACAGTGTCGCAGCTGGCATGCACACACACACACACACACACACACACACACACACACACACAC